AAAACTCTCCCAGTTTCGTGACTAGTAAACAGACATTTCCCAGCTTTTCTTCCTTCCTGAGGAATCCAGTCCCAGCTCCAGCTGCAGCTCTGCCTCCGCAGAGCTCAGTGCTGATGGAGGAGAGAAATCTCCTTGACACAAGTATAGCTGCAGGACATGATTTCTGCCATCATCCTTGGCTTCCCACCCCTCAGAAAAGGACAAAGTAGGCCAGCCATTTCTTTTTGCTTTCTTTCTCCCCTCCACTGCCCCATCCATAAAAGTATGGAAGACAGAAATTTTCTCACTAGTGCAAGGTATGGGGAAAAACCAGTAACAGCACTAGCCCTGAACCCCTCCCCAAATGCTATGTAAGTGAGTCATGGACACCTCACGGGTTTGAGGCTGCTTCCAAAGCATGGAGAGGCAGTGAGGAGTCCTGGAGACAGGGCACGCATAAGAGGGGGACCATCTAACATAAGGGGGCAGAGCAGCTTCTGCTCTGGGCTGACCTTCCTTCATCAAGGCCCTGGAGATGTCTGCAGTGAGAGTGTTCCCTTCCAGTGCAGTCCCATGACCCTGTTCTAAATGATGGTATTTTATAAACAGTGGTATCTTGGAGTATATAAAGCATTCCTTGTTCTTCTCATAAAACTGTGTGTTGTAGTCTCTCTGATTATTTAATGCTTGGTATTCTTGGTTTCTCACTTGATCTTCTGAACTGGAGATTGCTATGCTGATTTAGCAGGTACGTGGAAATCCCATCCCAATTGGCATTCACTGAAAAACTCCAAAGCCTGTTGAACAGCTAAATCATTTTAGATGTTCATAGGCTCCTGAAGTGTATGTTCCCAGCTTATGGTTCCATGGAAAGGTTTTCAATTAATCAACCCTCGGGCACACACAAGCATGACACATGCAGTTTTCCATTCCTAATCAATCTTTTGCAGCTAAGTGGCTCTTAGTTAAATGTGAGAACCCTGCTGTTGTGTTACACCACCGAAAATATATAAAATACTGTTAAGCACTAGAACAGGTATTTCCAGTTCCTTAATCCTCCCCCTGCACAACAGAAGAGTTTCTGGACCCTGCAGGCTGAAGTTTTGCCAGCCCTGCAATCCAGTACTGACTTCACATCCTACTCAGTGATGAAGTCAAAGTACTTGCAACCTGCAGGCCAGCACTTTCCTCTCCCGTTTCAATTGGTTGAAAATAAGGTCTGGTTTAATTATTTAAAAAATGTGTATATTCCAAAATAAGTATTTCCAAGAATCACCACAATGGGGGAATTGTCATTTTTGTTGTATTTGTGTTTATTAGAACATATGTACTTATTACAATTGTCATTGTAATAAATGGTAGTTCTTCATAATACTGTTGAAGAGCAGTTACTAATTTTTTTTTCCAGATTCCAGAATGTCCTTTAACCTATACAGGATCTCTGATGGGGCAAGGAGTTTGGGATCAGGCTATAAACTTAATTTCATCAGCATCAGTCTCTGCTTACTGCCATTCATCCTTCTGCTAATACTTGAGCAGATGCATGGAGAGCACTTCAAGGGAAAACATTTTTCTAAAGGTGCAAATGGTTGGGGTTGCTGAGCTCCCTGAACAATTCATAGCCAGGCTGTTGTGCCTCTCTCCTCTTCTGTCTTTTGAAGCATGTATTTAAAAAAAAAAAAAAAAGAAAATTTTTTAAAAAGCTGCACTTAATTTCCTGAAAATTCCTCATATCCTGTTTCTAATCAGAGGACCATAGCCCTCTCACTGCTTGTATCAAGGGCAGAGTGACTGATGTAGGGAGCTGGGGCAGTGAAATACCTTGAGGGCACTAGAAATTTGGCTGTGCTGAGGGGAGAGCAGTGTTCTGAAAGGGGAAAGAGTTGTCCTTTTCCCCCCACCCCCTGTGAGTAACCCATTCTTCTGTTATGGTTTTAATATGCATTTGTAATTACCTTTACTAAATAGCACACCATAAAGCTTTGGTTATATATTAAATGTAAACTGAAAGGAATGTAAACATATGTATTGTTAATTATAAATAGATAAGTAATGGCATAATAGATACAAAAAAGGTCTTATTCAGATGTATCAGTCATTTTACATTATCCACAAATTGTCGCATGATAGAGTAGATTTTTGTCTGAATATGTGAATAACTTGACTTGCGTTTATCTTTTTACATATTTAATAAAAAAATATATGTTAAAATCTGTCTAGCTCTAGAGACTATTCAGAACATTCTAAAGTAATACTTTTCTGGATAAAATACATATTTTTGATTCATCAGGGACTGCATATGGGAGCAGGAAGAAAAAGGCAGCTGCATTAAAAAACCAAAAGTTCACTTATCCTGTGTGTGTGTGGGTAGCATCTGTTTCCCCAAGAGCTCAGCAACTGTATCCCCTTCTATAAATCAAAAAGAAAATGCATGTATGCCTGTGCATGTAAACAGCACATTTTTCTTTATGGTAAATGCTTTGGGATTTCAGAGTACTAAATCTCTTGTGTATCAGTTTTGATACAACAGCAAAACTGGCAGCAGCCAGGAGGTGAAGAGAGTACTACAGCAAGGGCACTGAAACTCCCAGTGGACTTTCCTGCAGTGGCCAAGTATTCAAGGATGAATCTTCAGTGCAGTACCTAAAACCTGCCTGCGTTTCAGATTAAAGTATTAGGCTTTTTGGAATAAAAGGGGGGAAACTTCATTGTAATTCTCACTGCTGATCTTTTGTAGCATGGGCAATGTTAAAACAGTAGTTGCTGCTCAATCTCTGAGGCTTCGAGCCTTGGCTCAGGACCCCTTTGTGCCATGGTTGTGTGCCACCAGCCTGGCCCCCACTGCTATCAGGTATTCCTGGGGCTGAGGCCAAATTTTTGCTTAGCCCCGCTCAGGGAAGGTTTCTAATAGAGGGGGTAGGATGAAGCAGGGATAGAGGAGCCCATTTCCAACCTAGGTGTTCAAACCTGGAAGAGCTGCTCTTTTGAGTTGCTTTTTGTAAGACTTGGTGGGGAGGCATGTCTTTGGGCTAGTGCAAATGTTCAAAAGCATGAAAAAGGTACCTATTTTCCAGTTCAAAACGTTCTGCCATAATGTTGCAACAACAAAAAAAAAATCTTTGTTAAGACTATTAGGTCATCTACATAGTTATCTGACTTTGCAAAATAAATCTGTGACCGTACCACCCTATGAGCAAAGCATTTTTATTCCTGTTCATTGAACCAGCTACCATCTAGAATGGCTAAAAACTCAATATATACACTGTGTAATACATGATTTCTTTTTATATATGTCTTTATAGAGATTGTAGTGACAAGTTCCTTTAAAAAGGAAAAATAAATTATTTGCCATGTTTTCATATAGAAGGTGAAAAACTTGGCCAGAGCTTAATGTCCTTAAAAAGTGACACTGTATTTCTCTTTAGAAAGGTACAAGTGCAGGCAGGTTGTGGTATTTCAAGTTTTATAATTTCATTTAATGAATATTTCAAAATACTCCATTACAGTGCATCAAATAGTGCTGCTTCTGTGACCCTTATTTCCAGCTGTTTCCTAATTAAGTGCAAGACAGACGTAAAAGGGAAGCCTGTCCACAGAGTTTCTCCAGTACAACCAATTTAGAGGTAATTTTATTGTATTCTAATTCTTTTCTCATCAGAACTTCCTCCAGACACTTGTGATGGAAGGGTGAAATATAAACTTCCTTTATAAAGTAGGTGAGACTTTTATGTCTCTGGTATTGGATGTAGTATTTAATTCCATCAAACATTGACACTGTTGGGTGCATGCAACAACTTTAAACTTGTCATTCCCCTTCAACACAAACTGCCTTTTCTAGCAAACTTCATTAAATAACCAGCCTTCAGACTTATTCTGAGAGAGTCCTTAGGGAGTGCCTTGGTGGACACCCCACACTCCCTGGGCATCATGCAGGATAGGGGCATGCCTACCGCACCAGTGGGGAGGAAGGCTGGAAGATGTCTCTTGGAGCTGGACCACAGGAGTACCAAAGGGCATGGGAGCCTCCCTTCCCTGCAGGGCTCTTGGAAAAACCTCTGACTCTGCATTAACAGGATGACCGGTCACCTCTGCCCAACTCAAAGCTTAAGCTGCTTGAACTGTGACTGTAGTCTCATGTTCATTTGGGGGGTGGGACCCTCAATGTGCTCATTTGGTAGGTGGAACATGCATACTTTCAAATCACGAGAAACCTTCCCATTTGGTGTGGATTTCTGCTTTGTGATGAGGGGAAGCTGATGTGCAGGCCTGTCCCCTGGCGCTGCAGGAAGGGCTGCCCGGGGAAATCACCTGCTGATGTTGTGGGAGGACAACTCCTGTAACAGGCAGCACCAGCTTAAATTGAAGCTGTTCATATGACTAGTCAGTGCTCAGCTGAAAATACTAATAGGAGCTACTGATATAAGGGTAAGTTAACGAGGGGGGGAAGAATGATCAGGCTAGTGATAAACCCAGAGAAACGGTCTAAGAACTGAAAAAGGTGAACTTAAGCCTTAGCAGCTCAACAATTGTGCTTTTACCTGGCTTCTGGCAAGCAAAATAGTTAATAAATATGCCAGTCTGTCAATCACATCCCTCTGTGCAAAAAATGTAATCTCATGCTTACCTTGGGGAATGGACAGATTGTTTCATTAGTGCTTCAAGACCACAAAGTCCCTCTGGCTAGGGCAGCATATGAAAAGAGATGAAACTCAAATTCTTACTCCTTCCTCCAAGGCATGTGTATCGTAGATGAAGTGAGCAGTTTACATCTGCATGCAAATGTGTAACGTTTGAAAAAAAAAAAAAAAGCTCTTCTTGTTTTTTTTCTTTTGTCATTTTCTAAACCCACAAGAATTTGCTTCAAGCACACAGGCAAATAATGGTTTGTTTTGCATTTTGCACTCATACACGATGTTTGACCTAAACTAGTTTTGCAGTGAAATGTGTGAATCTTTGAAGGTTTGCTGGCCAAATTTATTTTCAGCTGGTTACCTTTGTAGAGTATATTGCTCGTTGATACTGAAATATCAACAATGTGCTTGTTACTGCCTAGGAAATAAATATAAAGGTCAGCTGCTGCTGTACAGAGCCTGCATTTCTGACAGATACAGGTCAGCTGAGACTCATCTTAATGCTGAGAATGGGAAAAAAAATGTACATTTCAAAAACACTTTACCCATGGCTTTCTCAGCTCATTCTCTTGTCTTCACACATTCATTTGAGGTGAGGAAAAGACTGAATGTGCATAAGCCTTTCAGGAGGTTGTATGGGAGAAATGAGTTGTGAGAAAATAAATACGGAAAATGAAGCAGACACAGATGTCTGAGTGAGAAGGACATACAGGGAGTGTTTGCATTGCTGGAGTCCCACTGGTGACTAGGCTGGGCGAAACCAGTGCTGGTTATAAACCACCAAGAAGGTTATGTAACCTGGCATGAATTCATCCAGGACTTTGGACAAAATGGCAAGGAGGAGGAAGACAAAAGCTTCAGAGAGGCCAGTAACACAGCATTAGTGTTAGAAGAGAATAAATGTTAGCAGCAGAACAACTTGGTAAACACTTCTCTGCTGGACAGGAATCTTCCTCTGAGATGAAGCATCTTGCTGCATAGCTCATTGTCGCAGTGGTTCAGATATCTGTACTGTTCTATTCTTTGGTTATTTTAATCAGATTAATTCCAACTGTTTATCACATCAGAAGAGTTGCAGATCTCCACGTAAGTATTACAGTCTGATCATAGTGCAGGTGTTCACTCTTGGGTGCGTTTCTTCAGGGAAAAGATGTAAATGTTCAAGTGCTCACTCAGCTGCCTACCCTAAAGAGAAATCACGGAGATTAGCAGCCTGTTTGGTACGTGCTTCACAATTCACTGCCTCTCCTTTCCCAGTCAGAGGGGGGAGGACCCAACCACAGTCCTCGTGTACTTCGGGACCTACAACTACGCAAGGACCTGCAAGTATTCAAGCAAGAGAGCTGTGGTCCTTACCTTCCTCTTGCATCACACTGATAGGAAGTTAATTTGCTACAGACTAGATTCACAGATGACATAAGCCATGATGGAGCTGGGCCCTCTCAGTCAACAGTCACCTTTGACCAGGTATTTCCATTCTGACCCTCACCAGTTGGCCCATATTGATGCTGGGGTAGACTCTACTATGACACCAGTGTCTGCTGACAAGTCTTCTTTCAAAGACAATCCTTACATCCCAATGGTGTGTTTTAAAGAATGCTGAACAACTCCCTCTGAAATGAGATTTTTGCTATGCTAGGTATTTTATCTAAAAGCAAATCCCCATGAAAACACTTGCTAAAGGATTATTTGACAATTTAGAGAAGAGGGCATCAGCAAAGTAAAAATGAATTTAAGCAGTATTTCAGATGACAATAAATGACAAGTCTGAGATCTAGCAGACACAAAAATGCAGTGGTAAGACTGATGAACTGGAAAACTGTTCATGTCTCTAGCTTGAGAGATGCTAACGCAGGGCCAAGAAAAGATTAGAAATTAAACAGCTATTTTGCCCGCAGATTCAAAGCAAAGTTGGCCTTATTTTATTAATTCTGTTCATGGCACTTTGCATTTTACCTTGCTAGTTTTTCAGTCAGGTAACCTCAGGAAGAAGAAAGGCCAAAAAAAGGGGTGGGAGTGTTCATGCCACGTGGGTCAGCTACTACATAAAACCAGTCCATAAATATTCTGATTGTGATGGGTTTAAAGCCAAAACCATTTGGGTACATTGGAACAATTCAAGTCATTGAAGTTGTTGCAAAAAGGCACTGCCTGTAATAAACTGTCTTTTAACTTTAGACTAAATAAAAAAACACACACAAAAAAAAAAAAAACCCTAATTGAACTTTCAGACTCCCAGACACCGCCCCAACTAGAAACTGCTCCCAGACCCCATCTTCCTGCCCGCCCCAGGGCAGCTCTTCTGTGGCTGCTTCGGAGGCACCCGCTCACCACGCAGACCCCGTAGTGCACGTGGGCGGCCGTGACCAGGGCGGTGAACACGGCAAGAACAGCTTCTTCCATCCAGCCCAGCAGCCCGGAGATGGCTGCGTACACCACCAGTGCCAGCGGCAACAGGAACCAGTGGAAAAGCTCCGGCCGGGTGCCGCTCATCTGGCAGATGATCACCTTGCACTGTTGGAGCAAAAGGGGCCAGGTGAGAAGTGCTGGGTCAGTCCCGGGGGTCCAAGTAAAAGTACATCCATTTTCTCTGTGGGTTGCTTTGGATGAGGGGAAAACAAGGCTAGAGTTCAAAATGGGGCTTGTTTCTGGTGAGAAGATTACTGTAGGTGCATCTTTGTGCCTCGCTGTGAGTCCTAAAGGACATTATTACAAGTAATTAAAAATACACACTTTTCTAGAGACAGTGTGACACACTTGATAAGCTGAAGCACATCTTCACAAAAGGGGAGTTTGTTTGCCACCTTACGTTTTTACAGAGGCTCGTAAAGTTGTGATCCCAAATCAAATGTGCCACCACTTAATCACTGGGAGAGCATAATGGTATTTTAATCACATGGCATGACAGAAATGTCTTCTGCTTCATTGTATAGGAGGGAGGGAATACAATATATGACACTTTCAAATCCTGTTTTTCTTTTCTAGCACTCCTTCATGTACTAAAACACCATTTTCTTGGCTCAGTCATGGCAGCGGATTCCCTGGAGATGTAGTTGGGGGCCCACGGAAAGGGATCCCACTCAGAATGATGGAAAAAATGAATATGTGGTGCATGATTTAACTGAAAGCAATTAGCTTAATTCTACTGAGTTCTTGAAACCTAATGAGATGAACTCACTTGAAGTTCAGCATTTTAAAACCAGTTAAGCACACCGAAGTGTTTTGCCTGGTTTAGGCTCCTTAAGAAATGTGTCTCATATACACCATGCCCTTTACAAAAATAAAAAGGAATTTAGGCACATCAGAAATATTTTACCCATTTAAGTTTCACTCAAAATTGAAATGTGGTTAAAAATAGATTTTATGTATCCTGAGAAAAGTAGAAGAATGAAAAACTCATTCCCTGTGCAGTGCCTGAAATCTTATGACAGCAGCAGTAGGAGTCTGACCATAGGGAAAAAATACTGGCTTTACTGCCCATTCTGTTCAAGCTGAAGAATGCAAAAATAAACCATGAAAAAATAATTAACTTTCAATAATGAAAGAAGTAAGCATTTGTACCTAAGGTTAATATTTGCACTTACAATGCATTCTCAGTATTGATTGTGAATTTTTTTAATACCACTAGTTTTATGGGTCCTTTGGGAATCATTCCAGAGGATATCAGAAATTGCTAAAGCAATCTATATGCTATAATTTTTCTGCTAAATAATTGCACCTGTCCAGAGGTTGAATTTCACATTGTTTTAAACCATTAGTATACCATGCTAAGTACAGTACTGGATAAAGATCGCTTATTAATATTTGGAGCAATTCACCTTCAGTGTATCACAGGACTGCAAAATGGACTATGCTCTCCGATCCTCCCTCAATTCCTTTTTTCCCTTGGTCCTGAAGCACTGACTGACACTACAAGTGAGGCAAAAACAGCATTAGGAGATGAAAGCACTGGTGTCTGAACAGGGAAATGGGAAAGAAGAGGTAAGGGACTGCGCCCTGTGCTTTTCCATCCCCCTCGCCTATGCCTTTCAGTGCTTCCCTGGCCCTGCTGAAGTTAATCCTCTAGCAGCTGTGGTTTGTGCCCCTGAGTAGGGCCTTAATGTCTTCTCCCTTAACCATTTTCCCTGGAAACATTCCTCAAGAAGCATCTCATGAGTCTGAGCTGCTCCAGCTCGTCATGGCAGCCACCACGTCAGCCACTGCGCTCCTGCTGTGGGGATGGCTCAACTGCCCTCCATGGGACTTACCCACTCCATCACTCCTCCTGGACTCAAACACGTGCCTCTGAGGGCTTCCTACGTGGGAGCTGTGGCAGCTGTGCTCTGTGGTGGTTTGCTCGGACCTGGATACTTGTGACACTTGCCGTATGAACAAATCTCAAAGCCGGGTCAGCTTCCCGGCAAGAGAGGCAGTCAATCCACAGGCAGTCCCACTGCCAGCTGTGGAGACTGGGAAAAGAAGTCCTCCTCTCGTGAGTAAGCAGCTTTCCTCTTTTAGGCCTTGGAGGACTTACTTCCTTAGTTTAACCAAAAATGCTGGATATAGCCCGCCTTTCTGCCCGCTCCCTACTTGCCCTGATGCTGAGTGGCTGCAAGACGAAGTCTGAGACTAGGCATTTAGCTTAGGGGATCTGCTGGGTGACCAAATATGTTGTCAAAGGCATGGGAGGTTCAAGATACTGGTAGGTAGAGAAATGTGGGCTGCAGTTTGTGGTATGCAGAGCAGATAGTGGAAACCCAGTGTGTCAGGCTATCAAGGAGAAGAAAAGTATTGCCATGACAAGCCTTACTCTGATGCTGGAAAAAATGTGTGTATAAGGGACCAGTGGAGGTGAAAGGAAATACAGGCTTGTTTTTCAACTTTAAAATGTTATAAATTCCAACTAACACCCATACATTTTTAATGCTTGCTTTTAAAATGTTAAAAATTTCAGCTAACATGCATACATTTTTAATTCACGTGAGCCTCCAACACTGCAGTATATGTTTTGGGAAAAGAAAAAACAAGGCTAGAAGAATATATATTGCACTCAATGTCTGATAAACTACAGTCTATAAAGAAACTTTTGGTTTGCCTTACTGATTTTCTTCTGCAAGCATCCTGCCACAATCCCTCTTGGTTGGCTAAGATGTATATGCATAAACTGCCATCTGCCAAACTCTGAAAGCATTTTCCCTAGTGGCAGGAAATAATTTTATTTCTCATTTTGGAATCTATGCTATTCTTTTAAGAAAAAGGGGTAGATTAGGTAATGAACAATGCATACAATAAAACTTAACACATCTGAAAATAACCTCATTTTTATGAGATTAAGTCCTTAAGATGGAACTGTTTGATCTGTGACCCTCAGAAAAGTATGTTTATAGGATACATCTAACGAACATCACAATTATGATTTCTTTTCCATTCCTGAATACAAGTTTCTAGAGAGGTTATGCTTTCTCTTTTAAAATCCTACATTTTTAAGATCTCTCTCATAATGCAAGGCACTTCAAGTCTTTCACTTTTTAAATCGGATGTAGCATTGCTCAGTGACACAGTTTTAGATGGTGTTGGAGACTATTTTCCTAAGATGACACTAGGCACTATCCTCTAGGCTATTTTTAGCTTAAATGGAGGATCACCTTTCTGCTTGGCTACTCTCCTGGCAAGAGAGGCAAAGGGCTTCCTCCAGGGAATAAAGCCCTGGGTTACCTGCAGTGCTCAGCACCACTGTCTGGCTGCCCATGCTGGTACTTCATGAGGTTTATGTTGCCTCATAGGCATTAAAGGGGGGAAACTGGTCACAATGATGTGGTACAGGAGAAACTTATCTGTGGGCAGAGAGCCATCACAAGGCAACTGCATCTCTTCACATCTTTCCCTAAAACATCCTGTCAGTGGTATGGCCTTATTCTAAGCAGTGAAGGGAAAATGTAGGATCAGCTGAACTGCAGGATACAGGAATACATGTACAGCACTAATGGGCACAAGAGCAAGGGAAAGCTACAACCCCTCTACTCTTGCTAATAAATCTGTTTTGACTTTTCTTTTACTTTGACAAGTCCCCAGTTCTGCCTGTGTGTGGGGAGTATGTTATATTTCTGAAGTAAGGCCTCCCTAGGGTTGTCATAAACCCTCAAAAAAAACCCCACAAAAAACCAAACCAAACGAAAACAAAAAAACCCACTATCAAAAAAAAACAAAACGAAAAAATCCCAGAACCCTCCTAAAAGTGTTATGCTCTGGCAGAGTAGGTATTTCAGTACTGTAAATGTCCCTAGTCCAGACAAGTGTTGTGGAGTATTTTTATAAGACAGAGCATAACACAGAGGTAGAAGAGCTGAGTGACTCTGCTGATTTTAGCTACATTTTGTCCCCTTCTGTTTATTCACATAAAAATAAAAAGCTATCTCTAAATAATATCTCACCTCAAATATACTTACAATAACATTTGAGAAAGCAACCCCAACCATCCATAAAAACAGCCTTGGTTGCTTTGCTAATATGTTGCTTGGAGATAAAACCACCCAGACTGTAAGAAGAACGAACAGCAACAGAGGTGACACAAGAGGTAGGAGTCCTTCATACAGAGAATCATGCTTCAGTGTTTTCTTTAAATGTGCTCTGTAAGTAAATACAGTAATTTTATGGAGTAAGAAAATTGATCCGTTCTATTTCCACACACTAACTTCAACCTCTAGCCTAACTCAGCCCAGGAGTTCGTCTTGCAACATAGCTACCTGTGCAAATGTGCAGACATTTTTCAAGAAACTGTAGTATGCCCAAGTAACATTTATTTCTGGGGTTAAATTATACTGGTTTATTCACATAGCTCCTGGTCAGCTTCACCTGCTCACCATTGCCTGGCAATGGACCACTAAACTCACATGAAGTGAGCTGCAGTACTCTCAAGTATACAGGCATGTTGTGAATTCAAAATAGAGCATGAAACTTATGAGATATGAAATTGTTTCAGTCAATGCACCCCATGTTTTCAGTGGCAGAAGAGTCAAGCACGTGGCTGACAGGTATTGCTGTTTAGGTCTAGAGGTGATGCTGCTAGACAATACTGTACCATTGTCAAAGAACAGCCTAAAGGGGAGGCTTCTTTGGCTAATTAGAGTACAGGAAAATTAATGATGCATTGTGTTTTCTTGGATATTTTAAGCTGGCTTTTAAAGGTAGTGCTATTAAAGGTAGTAAATGACTGCATTTTATGTAACTTAGGAAAATGCTAACTATAAGGTCAACAGCTTTTACCTGTATCTTGCATCTTTCTCACTCAGGCAAACCTCATTCTGAGGTTATAAAAGGAGTAGGAGGTTTAATTTACTAAAGTTCACTACCATGAAACCACTAGTTCAGAAGAGCAATTCTGTGTTTGAAGTGTACTGGGAAACGTCCTGCTTAAAATCTCTGAACATATGTATTTATAGAAACAGCTAGACAAAAATCCAAGAAATATCTTTCTCATGCCAAAAAAGAATACTCTTCTCCTAAAATAAAACCGAGAACAGGCATCAGTATGAAGAAAGAGAGGAGATGACTGGAAAACTCAAATCCCTCATCACCAAAGAGCTTGTATGTGCATCCTTCAAGCAAACCTGACTGGATTTTTAAAATTACTGTGCCATTCTGTTCAGAGGAATGATAAACCCACTGGAAGGCTTGAGAGGAAGTATGTTGAATGATGACTTGAAAAGGAAAACACCAAACAAAATTCCTGACATGAAAGGAAGGAAAACAAAACTGAAATATTTACTGGGGCAAATGCTGCTACTGCCAGGGGCTGACGTGCACAAGGTGCTTCCCTCCTTCACTCAGTCGTCCCCAAAGCAGAGTCCCTTGCCCCACAGCCCAGCCTTTCTGCAAGTCCTCAGCTTTTCCTGCCCCACATCTCCTGACTCCCCTTTCTTCCTGCCTCAAACTCAGGGCCATTCATGCTTTTATTAACTACACAGAATACCACAACTGGAAAAGGGCTGTGTAGGAGCAATGACATATTGTGTAATAGTCTCTTCAAAATTTAAATGTTAGTATAAATTCCCACTAATTCCTGAAGATGGGCAGTGACAGTCCCTCCTCCGGGACACTTAGGACCTGAGAGACCTCAAGTGACAAATGAGTGAAATGAGCCATCAAATACTAGTGGAAGGCAGGCTGCGTTAATAAAAATAGGCCATCAGAGTATAAACTGTGGATAAAATTCCTAGGTGGAGCAAGCCAGCTCTTAGATGTAATCACAGCTTGCCACCTGCCTAGCTTATATCTGAGAGCAATTATCTGCAGACTTCATACAGAGGAGAGTTTTACAGAAGGACCTGGAAGACAATGAAGTATTTCACTGACTGTAGGATGATCAGGTACAGAATTTTACTCAGTGCAGGCAGAAGTTACAAATCACATTTGATTGCAAATAAAACACAATGTTTCTAACTACAGAGCTTTTATCAGTTTACTGTGCAGGACCACTGTGAGACTGCCTGGAGAATGGCAAGTGAAAGAAAAAGAGGAGAGTTGTAAACATGGAAAAGAAACCAGTCAGATTCTGAAAACTGACCAGAAAAACCTGTTAGTACATTATCAGGACAGCATCTGGATAAAGGAGCTAGGCTATTTCAAGCATAAAATTTATTTCTAATTGAGGAAACCCTTAAATATACATAATTAAATGGGAGGGAATAGAACTTACTTAATGTTAATTAACTTACCTGTGAATATTGTATAGTGTTTGTGGAAATGAAAGAAATAAACTGAAGCCTGGAAGAGAAAAAGATTAATATGTAATGCTACAGTGATGACCTCAGAGTTTTCTCATAGGATAACAGAGCTAATCTGCTATTTTAAAAATGACTCGTTATTCCTGTACTCATTATAGGATACAAACTGAATTTGGAACCTTTAGGCAATAATAAAACCTTCCTCTTTTTTTTTCAGAAGTTAGCTGCTAGAAATAGTTGCTGATACAGATTTTTTTGTATAACAAGTGACAAGACCAGAAAGGATTTTAAAAATTCTGATGTAGCTAGTAGGTAGGACCAATTATTTTTCAGACAGGCTCCTCTGCTGGACCCAGGACAGCCATATTTTGCTTGAGCTGCTGTCTATGTAGAAAAAACCCCAAGTCTGGCACTAAAAGCCTTCCAGTGGAATACAGAAAGACAATTAACCTCAAACAGGTTCACATTACTGGGGGAAAACATGTTTATCATTCAGTATATTAATGATCTGTTTTGCTGATACAATAGCTAAAATGAATTAATTTTCATGATATGTCCGTCATTTCAATGAGTGAGGGCTTTTTACTGTTTTTTTTTAATAGAGGTGTGACCTTTCTGGAGCTCAGCTTTAACCCTCCAAACACAAGGAGTTTGCCTTTGCTAACGCTGTGTCTCTCTGCACTGCTCCTGGCATTATCAACAAGCTGTCAGCAGCCCCAGAGTTCCCTGAAGACCCAGTTGTACCCCCTCTAACACCTACATCCAAAACACATTGGTCCACCCAAGGGTCAAAGAAGACTCCAGCAAGAAGTGGAAGTTCGAGATTCAAACAAAAAAAGCCACCATATCAGTCAGACTAACTAGGTGAAAACATACATAAGACTTTTTTAATCTCTATGTTTCCCTGTAGAGCTCTTGGGTTGGTTTTCCCACCACCACCACTTTCTGCGTATTGAGGGCTTTTCCCTGGTCTATTTGCTGCTTGGATGTTCTGGGTAGCACATTTCATATATTATAAGCCATGAGGATTGGGTTTAGTGCACTACATTAATACATAATTCCTATTTGGTTATGTGCAAGAAAAGCATTCTGATGTGCTAAACCTTCTGGTGTTGCCCTAAAAAAAAATCTCATTTAAGAAACACAGTGTACTGTTTGTACAGAAAATTAGAAAACTTTAATCTCATTATTAGAAATAAGGGGGAAAAAAGAATGAATAAATAGAGGAAAGAGCTGATTTCAGATGACTTTGTACTGGGGTTAACGTGGCATAGCAGAGTCTTGAGAAATGTCAGTGTTTACTGTTCAGTCCTCATCAAAGACATACCCAAACATTTAGCATGCTCTGGCCACAGTGGTAACTCAAGAGAAGGAAAACTAAAAAAACCCGAGAATAGCGGAGATCAGGATTGATGGAGAAGTAAAAAGGGATGCAACAGATAATCTATCTCTCTAGTCTTGCTGGTTATTTTTTAAAGAGAGGGGAACAAAGAACAGAAAAAAAAGAATATCCAGCCTGTAAATAATTTCAGGTATTGCATTTTTTTTTTCATGCTTACTTCTTGGTTTTTCTTTTGTTTTAAAACAAGTCGGATAAAGAGCTCTTTCTACTACGCTTCTTTAGCGTAGTAGAAACTCCCTATCAAACAGCTGAAGGATGTGCAATTGAAGTAATATCCCAAGTAGTTTGTGAATGTATTTCTAAAATTCACAGGTTTAGAATGCCTTCAGAGTGATCTGAGTTTAATGTGCACTCCAGTTAGCTATGTTTTCTATTAGGCAGGGAGGGCTAGTTCAATAAAATCTTGAGTTACGTACAGCAGTTCCAACATCTGTATCACATTAGAGTAGACATGAGACAAAACATTGACTCTTGAGGTTAAATCTAAATTTCCTGCTGCAATCCTGAAGTTTGATTTGTTAGGAGAAAAGCAACCAAGAGGAACAGAAATAGAGACTAGAACTAGAAATAGAATTCAAAGAGCAATGGTTGCCAACAATTTGTTATTTTTATGAAGTGCCATTTTAGTTAGAAATAACACACTGACCACAAACAGTCCCCCAGCTAGCTAAAAGCCACTTTCTAAATGGGGCAGTTCCACCAGTTACTCCCCTGTATTTTAACGCAGCTTTGCTTTTAGCAGAGGGAGAGCTGAGGATGCAGCAGGGAAAGCAAAGGGTGTTCCCCTGTTTCTTAGGGGATTTTCAAAATTCCATCATTTCCTACAACATGTTGCTTTCCCATCTTTTTTTAGCTACGGAGGCCTGGCTTGGGGGCTGCTTTTGGTACTCATTAAGTCTGCTTTTTAATTGGTATTAAGGATCCCTTTGTGCCCAGGAGCTAAACTGCTGCATCCGCATTGCTGCCATTCCCCGCTGCTCTGGGGAACAAAAGGTGCAGCCTGGAAAGCAAACCCACTGCTGGCTCTCTGGCACACAGCCACTCAGGCACTGCCCAAGTGATGATCACAGAGCTTTTTTTTAATGTCCTAAAAGCACATATTTTATTTTAAAATAATTTTAAAAATCGAAGTTAAGTGCATTAGGCGTTTTTAACACATTACAGAAAATAGAACTCCTCAAGTGTTCTTAGAAGTATTACTGCTCTTCCAGTATTTTTTAATTTCTCCTTTAATATTTTCCCATTTTCCAGCTGATTTAAAATCCAAGACCCAATTATAAGAACACAGGTCTATATTAACGGCAGAAATACCAAAGCACACATGGGTGGCACAGATACACACAGAAAATTCTTGTGTCACACTAGGCTGAAGGCTGAAGCCCAAATCCTCAGGTTTATGTACAATCCTATCATCAGTCCTCTGCCTTGCACTATCTGGACTCCCTTTTCGAGAAATAAATATTTATAAAGCTCTTTATTGGGAATTATTTTTTCCATATTAAAAAACCAAACCAAACAAAAAACAAACAAACAAATCCCAAAGCATTCATAAATTCAGGATTAAAGATGTCAGAAATGAAGGTATTATCTTATTTTCCAAATATATATATAAACACAGAGATACATACACACATACACATGCATATCTATCTGTCTATCCACGTGTGTAAAAGAGATCAAAAGGTAATTCCCATCAATTTTAGCTTTCATTTGGTGCTTTCAAATTCAATTCCAAAACAATAAGATGTCATTTCACATAGCTGAGTAAATTAATAATAATTTTAAAAAGGTAGCATGTGATGGATATCATGGTACATTGTCACCTATGTAATTTAGACTAACAGTAATCTATTTTAGTTTCATTACATGAGGGCATTTTAAACCCTTATGTAAATAAATTTAAAGACTACTGAAGACCTGCAGGCGGTCAGGTTGTTTCCATGACATGCTGCAGTTACTTACTAAATTAACTCATGTGACAGACCTGCTTGTTGTAGAGGAAGAGAGGGCATGGCCAGAAACAAACTGCTGACGCTACTCTCAGTTCCAGAAAATGCTATTTCAGTAACTAACAGTCCTGCACTGGTGCTCAGACAAAGGCAGACAGCCTGATGCAGGTAGCCACATTTCTGAAAACACAAAACCTCACAGACTGTAAACACCGCTAAATAAAGAAGCAACTCCAAGACACATAAACCACTATTTTTACAGAAATTACACTGCTTCAAAGGAAGGACAATGTTTATCTTTGCTGTTTATCTTCTCCACACCTTTGCTATTGTAAATCCCCTTTGTTGGTAAGTTTCTGACAAGTGAAGCATCCTTACACTGTCCTAAGAAAAGCACTGAAATATTATTTGTTAATAACTGGATTTCCGGATAGAAGTTCAAAATGAGATAGTGCGATATAGGGATGCAGACTTAGGTGAACACTGCACTGGAAACTGTGTGAATTTGTTCAGGAAAGTACCATCCCTGCTGTGCTCCCCCCCAGAAAAGACTCCCCAGAGCATTCATCCCATTTGGGAGGCAGGGAAGAGGTATGTGCAGACCTTCTCCTGGGCATATTGCAGAAGTTGAGCACCTCTTTAACAGCAGACAGTTGTCACTTGCATTTCAGCCTACAAATGAAATACACCCTCCTCTCTCATTCTTCAATTGCCCACATCTCCACACGGCCTTCTTCAGTATACTGCTTGGCCTTTCCATCTCTAGATTAATAATTCATCATAGTCAATGCTTACTGTAAATAACTGGAATGTTATCATTTACCTTTCTTAGACACCAGACCAAACAATTAGATTCAAAATATTCAGGCCTCAATATTTGCTTGGACAAATATTTAAATACTTTTTCTTTTTTTTTTTTTTTTTAAATTTCTTGCACATTTAGAGCAGCTAGACACATGAAAATATCTTAACACACTGAATATTTAGCACAATTATCAGTGCTTGGAAGCAAGCTTCATCAAAAGGTGAATATTTAAAAGCACTTGTAACTGGAACAGTAGCTTTTTATGGAACAGTGTGACCTTCTCAGGCATGTTTTGAGAAGACAACTCTTTTAATTGATTTTGAAAACAGATAATTGCATATTGAGCTGTCCACTAACTATAAAATTACATTGTATCATTATATAAAATGGTAAACTTTAAACTGCATAGTAATTGAGGGGGGTAAAAAAGCTTAGAAAATGAGTATATAATTTTCAGACTTAATTGAGCCTGCAAAGTCTGAATACATTAGGATGAAAAATACACCCAAACTGATCTACACAATATGAAATTATTTTACAGGATTAAAAGAACAGTGTAAACATGAGCACTGTCTTAATGCACACGGTTAATGTAGGTTTTGGATGTTTAGCATCTAAGATATTTCTTCAGTATAAAGATTGTAAAGGGATGCATTTGTCATGTTCGTTGAAAAGGGGTGTGTTTGTAGTGTTTGTTGATTTTATACCTTATTTTCACTGCCTAAGGAAGTACACACTGCATTTCTCTCTCTTGAACTGAGCTGTAAGATAACAATTAGCATTTTGAGAGATTAAGTGCAGACTGAAGAATTAGTTTATGGATGTAGCTACTTCTTTGATGTAGTACTGTTCACACATCATTCTCTTTCTGGGCACAGCAAGAA